TCACCTCTTCATAATCCTCAGTTTTAACTTGAGCACTTTCAGTGTGTTGCACGGTTATCTGGCTTCTCTTTCCCCATCTGTGCCACCCTTACTCAAGTATCAGACTAAATAACAACGCTAAATAACCATAAATGTCTTAGTTAGCAGGCTAGATATAAGGTTTATAAATACTTGCCTCAAACAGATGCGAATGTAGATCATAAACATTATAACCAATTTCTGAGAAAAAAACAAACCCCACAACATTGTACAAGGCTTTGTTTCATTACTAGAAGTGCAATTATCTGAGACTGACAATTGGCTGCATTCCCTGTCTGCTGGAGAGGTAACTCCCGTGTAGGGTTATATGATGAAACAGGTGCAAAGGAAGACATGAAAATTGTATGCAGATATCTCACTAGAGAAGTTGGATGGCATGATTCACATTCATTTCCTGGAGATGTTTAAAAACTTTCTGAAAATATTATGATAAAGCAGACAGAAGTGTTCTCTGGCTAAAAAAAGTGACTAGCCCAGAAAAGTATAGGGTTTGTAGCACACAAAGTGTGAGATGAATGATTGGGCCACCTCAGCCAAGTTAAATTCAGTCTTTTGCCGAGTCTTTGAGGCTGATTTTGAAGGACAGGATGGAAAAGTCATTACAAAGAAAAGCAATGAAAGAAACCCCAGAACAAATAACCGCAAGTGTCCACTGCATGACCCTAGACACCCGGTAATATTACATACTGTCTCAGATGCCGAGGGTCATGTTCAGATCACATAAAATACAATTTTAAAATGAAAACAGATACAATGAGATTAATAGAGATGAAATCTCATATAAAAACTAAATAGAGAAGCAAAAGGTGTGAGATGTAAAGATGACCATTTTCCTTACTTGCTACTAGGAAACCATAGCCTGAAACCCCCAAATTGAGAACTCACACGTTTCTGAATTTTACATCATCAGCGAATTATCTTAAACCTATACTTGCCCTTAATGTTGCTGTTAACCTTATCAGACATACGCACCCTGAACACTTTGCGTTACTGTGTTAAATCACACAAGTGCTGGTTTTGTTTTTCATAGAACCATTCAAGTTGGAAAAGGCCTTCAAGATCATCCATTCTAACCCTGATCAATATTTGCTATTCATTCTTTTTCACAGAGAAGCAAAATGATCACCAACATTCAGGAAAGCAGCGGTAGCCAATGGGAACAGAAGTCCTGTGGTTTAATCAAGCTATGTCTGGCAGAACGGAGGAACCGGATCACACCTTGACATGTTAATGCTTTAAACTTTGGAGAGAGACACACACCAGTGTGGTTTTCTAGCACATATTGGAAAGACATTGCCTATTTCCCATCTTCCTCTTAAAAACAACTGCACACAAACCTGCTAAATATGACTGCAATACAGCCAACATTCTGACTAATAACAAAGGTCAGAGGCACTGGAGAAAATAAAATATTATTTTAAGTTGTTATAGTTAAAAAGCAAACAGATGACTTTCAGGACAAAAAGATACTTCCCCAATTATCTTCTGAATTAATCTGAATTTCAGCAAATACCCAACAGGCCTTTATTATGCGTTTCATTTAAATTACACTAATGTGTAACTCAGGAAGAAAAGTTGATTGTTTGTAACAGCTAGACATCAGCTGTCCTTGCTCGCTACCTAAAAGAGTTAATTTTACAGCAAACTGCAGCTATTCTGCTCCTACTGTATTTGTTGCAGGTTTGAGAATGTTTCAGGGGATTTACTGTTTTAGTACCTGTTTGTCCCTTTTTAACAACTGTAAGATTATGGGTTTTAAAGAGAGATAATAATTCAGCAAAGCTATGAGGTTTTTTATGAAGACTTTAATCAGGAGCGTGACATTTCTTTTCAAACAAGAGCAGCTGCTTAATTTCTTTTTGCCTGGAAGGAACTGACTTCTCCAATTCAGTTTGATCTGGTTTTGCTTTTGGACTAATGCCCTAATCCTCCTAACCAATTTTCACTTGGTTTCATAGTCTATTATTGATAAAAGTTTCAAAATTATGATGATGCAATTTACAGGCAGGCGAAAAGAAAAGGAAGGCTCTTAAGATATGTTTACTCTTCCATCAGAAAGAGAAATGCATCACTATATGTGTAAAATATTAATCTCAGGCTATACCTCAGAAATAATGGCATGAACTTTATACTACATCTACTGCTCAGGATCTCAACAAAGTTTATACAGCTCTCCCTGACACACATTTCCATGGCTTTAATATGATTACTATCTGAAGTAGTAAGATTAAAAGTTGTTCAAGAATGTCTCTGCAGGATGCAGGACCTACAGTTCAAGTTCAGTCATACTTTTTCTAGCTGCAAGCCATGATCTTTCTATATAAAGCAGCAACTGGAATTTATAGAAATGACCAAGATTACAATCCACATTACACTGAAACACAAATCAAAATAAAATAATACATAGTGAAAATACAATTAAATAAATACTGGAATGGAAACTGATCAGTGAGATACTAAAAACTGTTCTCATATCTATTTATCAAGAGAGAAATTAAGGAAGAGGTGATTATTTGAAAAAAACTCCTCTCCAAATCCACTTTTTTCAGTTAATCTCTAACCATCATCTTAGTCTGAAAACCTAGGAAAACGCTGTGGGCTCCAGCCATCCACCTGATCAAAAATATGATGACTTTCCAAGATTTTTCCATCGTTCAGAATATGGCATATCTCCTAGGGCCTCTCTAACCACCTGATTTCGACTTGGGACCTATGAAATAAAGGTGCTTGTAGAGGCAAGTGCTCTTTACACATCAGTTTGGTTCGTCACAGTGACATTTCTGATAACCAACCATGTTCTTTTTCTACAGCTACACTCTCCTGGTTCCACTGTCATTCCTGTAGTGCACTGCAGCACTGTCCTTTTTGGACTGATGGCTTGCTTCCTTTTTCTATCCCTTTCATCACCTTAAAGTATCTCTTTTTTGAAATAAAATGCAAACACACTATTCGTAGATTATATTCTATATGTAAACGTCTAGTAGTAGCACTCTAGCCAGGCAGGTAAGAAATAAAGTGACTAGAGAACAGCACAACTGCAAAAAAAATCCCTGAAAAATATTTATTTATTTACTCTCCTAAACTAAACAATAAAACAACAAAAAAAAGTAAATACTTGTCATTCAAAATTAATTTTCACTAAAAAAAAATAAATTGGAATGGACTTTGAACAATATTGTCACAGCCCCTAGCCTCTGAATTTTTAATCAAACAATCAGAATCTGTAAATAAAAATAAGCATTAATCCCAGATTCTTATCCAGACATTACCTAATTTTGTAAAATTAGCTCTCCGGATTTACAGCAGCATTTCAGTGAGGTTTGAGTGGCCTTGAAAAGCCATTAGAAATTGTAACTAGCTCTAGCATCACCTTTTTCAGTCTGTTCCTCTTTTAGATTTTATTCTTTTTAATAGAAGCTTCTGGCTTTTACTGTGACAGTAAATCCATAACAATGTTTTCAAAATTATTATTTTACTAACTAGTGAGAGGAGCTGGTTTGCAAAAGTAAGAACCTCTGCATTCTTCTATTTATATCTCCTAAAGTCAGGAGCCTACATTGCTGAACATAAGCCAGCATTTTGCCTCTGATATTTCCTAGGTATGTCTACAGCCAGATTAAAAACATCTGCTGGACCAGGAAGATTTATCCACAGTTCAGTCAAAGCTCTTAACCAGATTCAATTTCCTCTTGCCCTGGTCCCTTTAATTCTCTCCTTATTGTCTGCCTATATGTTAACTTGAGACTTCAACAATTCATCTTCATTCCCAGACCTGGAAATAGCACCTCATTCCCAGATTCAAAACTCTTAGATCCATTTCTGCAGGTAATATAAAAGCTGTCTGCACCTTCAAAGTTCTCAGGTCCAGAGAAACTTTCTACATGTAGCTCCTATCGACATCAGATGGCAGATTGCTTTCTGTCCTCCTTCCCTACTTTATGCCAGTGACTCAGACAATAACATCTCAGTCTTTTTTTGTCTAATGCCGGCAGTTTGAATCTTTCATGTAAAATTATTTTGTCCACCTGACATTTTAAATCCTACCTAAAAATAGATTTCTTCTACTTCTCTTTCAATTCTCCAGTCATAGATGCAGGGTGACCATGTCCAAGTTTATAATTTTTTATGTGAAACTTTCTCATTGTATTCACCTCTTCTACAGGTATCATCACCTAACTTTGCTTTTCCAGAACAATTCATTTCAGTTAAGTATCTTTTCCCAGTGTCACAGTGGAAGATATAGTCCACATTAAGTTTAATTCATACTGATAGCAAACTGTATACAAAAAGTGAAAGCTTGACTCTAGGTAAGGGAAACAGACATAATTTTGCAGTAAGGCAAAAAAGTACAGTCACTGAGTTCTCACAGTTTAATTGGAAGTCTTGTGACATTTGACATTCTTTCACAAAGTTTTAGCTCTCAAAGGTAGTTATTATGTTAGACTTTCTTTTTTGTAAGCTTTGTTTCAGATGGACTTTGACAAGGAACTGAGACAAATCTCATTTAGACAGTGTATGACTCTCACAGCTCAAAGCCAACAATATCTAACCTTTATGTACATTAAAAATAGCTTGGAAATATGAGCAGAGTGAAGCTGAAAGGCTTAGTGAGCAAAAAAGCAGATTTTTTTAAAAAGTAAGATTTATTTAAAAGTATTTTTAGCTATGCTGATAGTTTTGTTGTGTGACTCATACCCTGGGAAACCTTTGAGATTCTAATAGTCAGACAGGTACCTTCTGATTCAGGAAATCAGACACAACAAATTTATTCACTGAAAACCCTGAACTGGGTGTACACATATCTGCAGTCCTCAACAGTAGAATGATATAAACCATAGATCCTGTGAAAAGGGAGATGAGCCCCAAGCCCTGGCCCTACAGCCCTTTTGCTTGTTCCCAGGCTACCGTAATGCTCCACAGAGGCCAACATTTATCAGCAGAGCAGCCTCACTGGAACTCACCACCGGCCGGTGCACGTCCCAGAACGCTCGCTCCTGGCTGTCAAGAATCTTCCTCTCTATCTTGTCTCTCTTCTTGTCAACTCTGTCAATGTTAGAGGATATTTAAAAGAAATAGTGTTAATGACAATATTTTTAAACATAAGAAATGTCCAATCACTTTTCCCTCCCCTTCTTCCTGGAAAAATCATGGAAACTCAAAATGTCTTGTCTTCAAAGGAACTTACTTTGCTTGTGCTTCAGCTTGCATAAAAATAAATTCCCATTTCCGAGCAAATGCTCGCTGTAGCCTGGCCAAACTCTCCTGAAAATACAACACAATTTTAGTGGGTTAGGTTGGAAGTTATTTACTCTTTAGTAGCTTTTAGTTTACCTTTCCCTCCTCTCTCACCTCCCCCGAAGTTGTAATGAAAGTCATGATACTTGTGTCAGTGTAAATATACCATATTTATCCGATATAAAGTCTTTGTTTGACACCAAAAGGGGTGGAACACTGGATCTATCTACTTTTGAATGCCCTGACAGTTTTAGTTTCTAAACTGTGATGACAAGAGACCTCCAGCAGAACATGGGATTTCTGAGGCATTTTTATATACTAGGTGCTGGCAGAGTAATTTTGTAATAATGCAAAGAAACGTTCTTTTTTTGAAAGTACATAATACTGAAAGATAACAGCAGTACTTTCCATACTGGATGATCCACATGACAACTCCCTTAAGTCACCTATGCAAACAATTTGCACTGAACGATGTTGGCTGCCTATTAGTTTATTTAAAATACAATACTAAGAAGCAATGAACATTTTGGCAAGACAGGAATCTTCCAAGACTGCCGTAGTTACCCTATTTTTAAAAAATGGAGACTATAATTCTTCACTACTGCATAGGAAATGTAAATATTCTGTAGCATAATAATAACAGGAAGATCTGTAAAATCTTAGCAAAATTATTTCCTCCAGTGATGCTGGAACAGCTTCACTGTCTGTAACAGAGCTTTTCCAATCTCCCCTCAGCCTACATGGTAGCAGTATGCAGTCTGTCAACACAGAGAAGGCTGTGGTTCTTACCTTCCTCCAAAAGGACCTCAGTTACCTTTGTGCACTGCTTTTACTGACACTAAGTGAAAACCTGTCTTTAAACTTGCTAACAAAAAGTGTTGCTTTAACTGTATTTCTATGCATTGCAAATGTTTCTCTGTGACATACTCACTGACAATAAAGACTGAAGAGTGAAGAAGAGACTTTCCAGAGATCTTGTCAATACTAGTAAAGGCTCTCACGGATAGTACCCTGGAGGTGAATTTTCTAAGGCATGTAAGTATAAAATTATGCATGCCCCACAGTCCAGTACACTGAAAAGCAAGCTTGTGCCAGAAGAAGCAATAGAGTGTGTCAGCATGGTGCTACTGCTGGAGGATTTGGCATGTTGAGAGGTCTGGCTGACTATCCTGCTATCATGTCACAGCAGCACAGCTGGACAGCTTTCAGCACAGAGCTGGGTCTGTTCATGAATTTTATGCTGACATTTTCATGAAAAATTCAGGAACTTTGAGGGGGAACAGGGATGGAATTCAAGACATCTCTCTCCTTAGAGAGCACATCCTCACCAGCTAATCAAACGCCCTCTTTTTCCAGCTCTTCCTGGCCCCAAATATCTTACCTTGCCTGGGGCACAGCATAATTTCCAGGGAGTGGGAAGTGCCTCTAGTCTGACCCTTTTTGCCTCTCATCTTACTGGTAGGACAAGGGCTCAAGTGCCAGCATCACTTTAAAGAAATGAGATTTGTATTTCTACAGCTACCAAGCACACTTGAAAACGTTGCCAGAGATCCTTCATTCAAACCTTGCACAGTGGAGAGTACAATTGCTTTTGAACACTCATGGTGTAGCTGGGATTTGTGAACAGTTATTTCTGATCCTGGCATGGTGATTTGAGCAGAGCAAGATTAAATATGGTCTGAAACTTCATTTTTTTTTCCCAGCTAGCCTTCACTACAGTCTCTCAAACACCATTTATGACTATGGAGCACTGCCAGACCCACATGCTGGTAAAAGTGGATAAAAAAGTGGAAAGTGGATAGTTTTCATGCTTAACATTACTTTACAAGCTCATTAGACCCAGCAGAGAAATTTACTTTTCCCCAGGTACTTACAGCTTCATAGTCTGCTAGCTCTAGCCTTGCTTTGTTTTGCATTGTCCGTTTGCAGAGGTAAACAGCTGGAACAGAATAACAGAGAATTTGCTACTATCTCAAAAACACAAATCGAGAGATCTTGTCTCTATTTTTCTGTAGGTTTTGTTTTAGTTTATCCTTTTATTCTAATAAGCTTTAAATACGGGATCAATGCTGCCAGTATTGTAACTAAAATGATGGGTCAGATACAGAGATTCATTAAATAATTATAAAATCTGCTTTAGGCAACAGACATCATATACAAAATGCATGAGACACTTGGGTTGAGGTTGTTTAATGGCCGGCACATTAAAGAAAAAATTGAAAAAAAAACCCTTTTAAACTGTGCATGTATAACTCATAATGCTTAGGAGGTTTATCAGGACTGCTGCTCTATTAATCAAATACATTTTTAAGAACAGGTACACGTGGTTTTATTTATTTTTACTTTATATTTAGGAGTCATAAAATTTCGCCCTAAGAAGATTTTAGCTAAAAATTAATTCCAGATAAAATTCAAGTCTCATACAGAATAGTTTGCTATAACTAATATTTAAAACAGAAAATAAAGTGAGACCAAAAAATGAAAAAAGTGCATCATGTATTAGATATAATGAGAAAAAAATATTCTTTCATTTATTTTCTAGATCCAAAATCCTTCAGCAGAGCTCTTCTGCCTCCACCTGATTCAGACAGAACAGAATCTTAACTAATAAAATGGAATATTGACAGCTAAATACTGAAAGGATGGAGGGATGAAAATGAAGCTTAAGACTACATAAACAGTACAGTGGTTTTCATCATGTTACTTGATCCAGAATTCTCTGTGCACTCCATTATCCTTGAAGGAAGTATATTTCCAAGAGACTTTATTTAGCAACAAATACTTCAGATCAACTCTGAATATTGCACAGCTTCCCCCACCACTAAGAAAATGAGCGCAGAACAATTTCTTATTGTGCAATATTCACCCACTTACTTCAGAGCACCTTCTCATGTGTGGAATCTTTTGATCATTGTAGGTAAGAAAACCTTAACTTATCTGTGGTGCCTAAAATCAGCAAAAACATTTACTGGCTGTCGTTACGAATGTTCCTGCTTCCTGCCTGCCTGCTTGTCCTCTACATGAGCAAAGAGAAATTACTTCACATAAGAACCAAATTCTTGCAGTCACTAGGAAGAAGGAAATGCTCATCTTAAACACAGCTTTGATTTTTAAGGTAGTCAAACTAGTTGTATTTTACAACTCCATGGAAATACTTATTTCTGAAGTCACCTGCAAATACATGCAAATCCATTCTAGTCGATGTTATTTCAGTGGAATTGATGAGAAGCACTTCCAATAAGTCCAGCTACAGCTATCGGTATTACTTGACATAAAATGAAGTTATATTTTAATTCACTTTTTGTCTTCCCTCCCCTCATTGTGTAGGTATTATCCGATCTATTTTCTTTTCATTTTCCACTCCCATAAGAAGCTGTGGTCTATTCCCTGCAGTATCATGTATCTTTTGATTCCAGAGCAATTTTTGTGTCTACAAAATCTACAAATATAGACCCAAATTCACATCACACATCAAGTATAGCAGACAGTTTCTATAGCTCAGTTTCCAAGCATTTTAATATTAGTATACACTTGCACTAATGCACTGGCAAGCATGCCAAAATGTCACAAACAGATGAAGGGAAAAATTTTGGACCCTTGTACCTGAGTTGCATAAACAATCAGTACGGTGGTAACAGAATACTGAGAAGAGAGATGTTCTTTGCCATTTAGTTTCTTTTACATTGAATCATTTTTCTCTCTTTTCATTCAAAATTGGTTATTTCATTGAACAAGAAAAAAATAAATACCTGGAAAATATTGTCAATAAAAATACATATTTAATAGAAATGCACAGACATTCCAAGGGTTAAATTTTCTCTAGGTCAACCAGTCTAATACCATTTGAACAGAAGCAAAACAAACTCTCCTGTTCTCTGCACTTGATTAAGCCCGTGTAAACCACATTCTCATGGTCCTTGTATAGGCACCTTTAGTTAACTTAGCACTTCCTCGAGTCCCATTGTGGGTATATTTTGGAATTGGCATCTCCTGCTACCTCCAACAAAAATCACTTCCATAGAGTGGATGACTGTCCGTCCTTCTGTCAGGATACCTTTTAACAAACTAGTGTCTTCACATCACAGAATTCTCAACACTGGCAAAACAACCACCTGGTCACCAGGAGCAGGGGAGAGGAACTAACTTGCCACAATATTATTCTAATACTGCATATAAAACTCTTGTCTTCCACATGTGACTGTACTGCAATATTTTCCCTGCAAGGTTCTTCTAATGACCCTTTTTGCTCCAACTCCATAGCAAGTACATCATAAGAACGTTTGGTTTTCATTATGAGCAAGCCAAGACTCAAAAAATTATGTTCATCCCTCAGACCTTTTTTCTCTGAAATATCCAGATCTCCTCCTCTTCGGGAGCCTAAAGATTATAATACATGTGGCTTGGATTGTTTATGTCAGAAATGCTTCTATGTGGCAGAATATGGCCAAGAAAGATTTAGTTATTTGAGAAATATGACATAACCACTAGTGTGGAAGAAAATAGTCCTGACGGACATTCCTACTCTTGACTCAATTTACTGCCATTGCTATGTGCAAACAATTACATCCTCATTATAGAACTGGATATTTGAGGATCTAAGAGCTACTTGTAGTCATAGGAGAAGCTGGCAGCAGCTCAGGAATTTGAGTTCACCAGTTCACACTCTTGTTATCATATTCTCTGGCTTGACTGTAACAAAATTCACTAGCACATTGGAAAGAAAGAAAAATGTGAAAATCACTCTCATTTTCAGCCAGAACATCTGAAAACACAGAGAAGTGAGGTTTTGTTCTTCTGACTTTTAGAGCAATGAGATCTGAAATACAGATACATGTTTCACAGGTACCACTCCTTTTCTGCACCGTGATATACGTGAAGTAACTGAAGGTGTTGGTACACCATGCAGTTGTAATTGCCCCAAACAGCCCATCCAGGGTCTCCACTGGGGCCCCCTTGCACCCAGGAGATGTGCTTAAGACCAGCTACTCCCCTGGACCAAGCTTGAGCTATGTTATAGACATGCCTCTAACCAGACCTGTAACTTAACAACCCTACCCTGACTTCCTGGCTTGACCTTAGGCCTTCCCAGTCACTTGAGACTTTGTCAGCAAGGACATTGCTCCTGCCTACACTGCTGTCACCCTCAGTTCTTGCTTAACTTTCCCTGCAGAGCTGCCCATTCTTGCCGCTCTCTGACAAAGGTGCTGAAAAGTGCTTAACATACAGATGAATGATATGCAAGAACAGGGTCTGATTAATAACCTCAATTTGCTAAATACGGACGGCTACATACAATCTTAGTTTTAGAGCCAGTGTATTCTGATGGATTTTGCAATCAACATAATTGCCTCCACTAGAGTGAATTATATATTAGACGCTATAGCTTGTGCTTTAGAAGTGACTGATTATAATGAGAAAACAGTTTTGTCAATAATTTTAAAGGCAATAATAATACATAATATTTCATAATGAAAGATGGTCAGTGTTGTTTATAAATTGGCATTGGAAAGACAGATCAGTACTAAAACACACTTTGGTAGCTGTGCAGTAAATACAGACTACTCGCTCCTGAAAATTCTGTTCAGGAATTGACAAAATGTGGGCGATGTGAGAGCTTTAAGGGAGACTGCAAAGTGTTCTAGCAAGGGTTGCCTGAAGAGGGTGTCTAGGTTTTTCCTTTTGTAATTTGTTTCAAACTGTTACACTCAAAATTATCTATATTCGTGGATAGCTACCTTTATTTTCTCAACTGTTCACTTATACTTGAAAGTTCCTAAGAAACCTCCATAGATTTTTTTCTTTAACAAAGATCATAGTGATAATGACAGGTTTCATTCTAGAATCAAGAAACTGGACTGAGTATATATCCTATTACGCACGCTTAGGGAAAAAAACCCAGAGCGTTCACCTCTAAGTTAAATAGGGAATTTAAGCTTGTTGCTAAACAAAGGCTAAATCTTCCCTCTCACCACAGCAGAGAAAAAGCCTCAGCTAAATTCAACAGAAGTACAACTGGGCCTCTGAAGACCACGGATAAAGCCACCTACATATCCACCACCATGTACACAGACTTAAACTCCTTACATAATTGTCCCAGTGCCGGTGGTGTTACAGCTCGATTCAGCCCCAGATGGTGGGCGTAGCTTTCAGTGAATACTCATTATCTCCGCTTAGGCCAGATTAAATTTATACTCTCTGTGAGTCAAAATTCTGATTTCAGAGTCAGTGTGCACCTGGCCAGTTAGTACTTAAAAAGCAAAGCAAACAGAAAATACTGCAAGGTCTAAGGGTTTCAGAGTTCTTCCTCTATATGTGAGTACCTGTGTCAGGTGAAGAATTACAGGACAATCGGCACAGAACATGACTGCAGGATAAAGCAAATTAAACTATCTCATTTAAACATCAGGATTTCTATTTCAGGGCAATTTATACCATCTTTAGGTCACCTCTGCTTTTACTCCAAAAAAATAATTTTTGCTCTTTGCAACAGCTGTTGAGTTTCACTTAGTCTTAAAAAAAAGATGACAACTTTTAGGCAGACAAAACTGCCAAATGCTCAGAAACATAATTTCTGAAACGCTCCGCCTTTTACTCTCTGATCATGCTATTTCTGTAACGCTTAAAGAGTGCAATTTTCTTATAGATTCAGACAGGTGGATGACTTTTTTACAGAAGCAAATAGCAAGAATGGAACCAAATTTCAAACTACCAGAGAGCTCAAGAATTAGAAAAATGAAAATTCATCAACACACAGAAGTCCCTGGATGACATTGGCCTGGGAAAGTCCTGCAGGGTGACAAATGAGGTATGACAGGGAGGTTACTCAAGCTACATTAACTATAGTATCACATAAACAATACCCTGTTGTTGAATCTAATTAAAAGTTGCATAATTTGAATTATTTCATACTTCCTGATGTTACCATAGTGCTTTAAATTT